GGCTTCTGCACTCTGAGGGTCGAGAGGACTGGGGCTAGGTTCAAGGGCAAGCCACTGCCTCCTCCTTCCTGCCATGGAAGAGTTCGTCCTCTGCTCTGCAGTCCGGACCCTCTGTACTGTCCCTACGCGGAAAGGTCACCTCTCGCCTACTAGCAGGGCAAGGGACAGTGTTCTCTGTGGTCCTGCCGTGTCCCAGGCACTGTGCTCCCGACAACCTTCTGAGATAGGGACTCGTCTCCAAGTGGGAGAGGACACCAAGGTCCACTTAGTAACTAGCTCATGGTCACACGGGGACAGAGGCTAGTGGCTCGGAGACTCTCCCCGAGTGCCTGGCTGGGCCCGACCTCACTCACCTTCACTGCCTTGGTCAGAACTTGAATCAGATTTGCCCCGGGGCTCTTCCAGGCTTGGAGCTCCTGTCTTGCTGCCCACAGAGAATCCAGCTGTACCGGGTGAGAGAGAAGGGGGCTGAGGAGAGGCCCTGCCACAGAGGCTGGCCTTTAGGGCTGGCAGGCTCAAGGGGAAGGGCTGGGGCTGCTGCCCAACTACATACCATAGTCCTGTCTCCTGGCGCGGCCTTCCCATACCTGGCAGGAGAGAAAATGAACAGGGCTCCCTGTAGGGAATCACTCGGGGTGGGGAAGGGCCTGGCTGGGAGCAGATGACCTCAACCCTGTCCCCAACCCTCCCCTGGCCTGAGGCACAGGGTTCAGCTCACTTCTGCATGGCCTCCAAGCCGGCATCCATGGCAGCAGCCCAGGCTGGCAGGTCGGTCTTGGTTTTGAGGGGCTGGGAAGCTGCCGTCAGGAACAGGCCGTAGAGCTGGGAAGAACCAGAACACTGAGCACATGGGACGGGCCTGCACCCCAGCCAGTCCGGGGTCCCTCGCATCAGCCCGCCAACCCCCAGAAACTGTTGGCACTCACTGCTCCAGAGGAGCCCCCCATCTTCTCCAGCAGCAGGACAGACAGCCTGGAGAGCAGCTGGGCAGGGCTGGTGGGGGGCGGGCCCTCCTTCAGCCAGCTCTGGATGGCTGCAGGCAGAGACATGGAGAGGGACTCAGACCCCGGACAAGTCCTCAGGCCCTACGGCCAGCCAGAGGGAACGGGGGTGCAGGGGAGTGTGGGGGCGCTGCAAGGGCTGGGAGGGAACCAAAATGCAGTCCCCGCGCTCCCCTTTCGGTGTCCAGCATATGGTCAGCAGAAGGGCTGAAACGGGAACTCACAGGGACCTCAGGAGTCACCAGCAGCTGAGGCCGGCCCTGAACACCTCACCCTGACGCTCCGTGCCCTGCTCTGTGCTCCACTCTCCCTAGCCCATTGCACCAACATCCTGTCCGTTTTCCTGATGTAGCTTGTTTCCTGTTGGTCTCCCCCACCAGAGCACAAGCCACAAGGGCGGGGACTCCTGCCTGCTTTGTGCACTGTCATGGCCACAGGGAGACAGCAGTGCCCGGCCCGGGGCAGGCACTCGTATGTTTCTCTTCCATGGTGCTGGACAATTAAGAGCTCTTCTCTACTCTGGGTAAGCTAAGGAAATTAGGGATAATAAAACAAGTTTCCCTTGACGCCAGCAGATGGCATAGTGGTTATGTCACTGGACTCTCACATGGCTGACCACGGTTCTGGGATTACACTAGGAAAGTATGCACGCATGCCCAAGATCCGTAGAGGAGAAGGGACTGTGACATGGGCATCCCCCCTGGTGGGGTGCCTTCTCACTTTCCCTCTCACTCTCTCTCTCTCTCTTTCTCTGGTGAACACACATGCTTTAAAAACAAAAAAGGTTTCCCTTGAATTGTATTTTATTACTGTAAAGAATTCCTTTTTTTCTCCCCGAATTAACAACATTCCTCCACGTGTAGTTCAAGGGGAAGGTCTTTTTCCTTAGGAAGATGGGTGAGAGGGATGGGAAGGACTTTGTGAATGACCTCATTTGGCAAAGTAAACACTGGCAACCCCAGGTTAGCACTCCGGGTGTTTTAGAAATTATTCTGTCTCATGAAATGCCAAAGCCTTAGAACCAATGTGACATTCCAGCCCCTCCCTGGACCACAGTGGGACCCGGGACCCACCTCTGGCAGCCCGGCTGTGGGTGGTACCGCAGTCCCCATCGCCAGCAGCCCTGTCCAGTGCATTCAGATGTTCCTCCAGGCCCAGAAGGGTGGTGCACACACGTTCCAGCACGAGCACCATCTGCTTAGAGGCTGGGCCTGCACAGGGTGGGGCCCTTCTCATAACCAAGCCCTGCGATGTTGGAGTGAGGGTGCTGGGTCCCAGAATACCCCACCGGACCCTTGGCACTCTTCAGGGGCTCAGGTCAGAGCTCTGGGCCACCTGAAAAGCCTGCCCCTTCCCCACCAGCAGGGCTGGCTACCTCTGGCAGCAGTGGAGTCAGGGGTTTCCGGGGGCTCCACTGGGGCTGCCCGGCTCCGGTTCCGCCCAGTCACGGAGACCTTGGCCACATGAGGCCAGGCTGCTGCGGTGGTCTCAGCATCTAGGGTTGGCAACATAACCCTCTCAGACACAGCTGGCCAGACAGGATCAAGTGGGGCCGGGCCCTCCCACCTGGCTCTGGGAGCCTGACCCCTCGGCCCTGGAGGAAAGCCTACAGCTCAAGTAGCATGTACTGAGTGTTCACTGCGCACAAGGGGACAGAGGGAGGCTCCCTGGGGAGGATCTTAATACCAGCTTTGCCGCAGACATGGAGAGCTGGAGAAGCCAGAGAGGGCCTCTTCACAGGGCCTAGGGCCTGGTTGTCATGGTCAGCCCTGAGGCTCTGCAAGTCTCCCTGGCTCCTCCCAGCTTAAGTCCTGGCTTGGGAGACCAGCAGCTGGCATAATGGCTGTGTTGCTGGACTCCCATATAGTCAGCCACGGTTCAAATCCCGGACCCAGTGGCTTAAACTCACATGGGGTGCGTGTGCGTGCGTGCGTGCCCAAGATCCCAAAAGGGGAATGGAGGAGAAGGGATTGCGGTGTGGCCATCCCCCCTGGGGGGTGATTTCTTGTTTTCTGTCTGTCTGTC